TTGTTTCTTGCATTTTGTGGTCAAAACGAAGATGAATGGATGAAACTTTCTTGAAATGGTTGAGATGTCATCTAAATATGACCCAGTGCTAAAAGACCAACTAAAAAGACTATAGAGGACTACATTTACAGTAAAAGCATCCGCATATTACCTTTCACCAGAACCCCAAAATAATAAATGTATGAATATCCTTGCAAATCATGTAAATCAATGTGAAGGAGATTTTTATCATGCACATAAAGGCTGCGAGGCTTTTTTGGAATTGTGTTCGACTGTACACCTGCTATATCACACACTGATCATATGTCTGAAGACTGTACACCTGCTATATCACACACTGATCATATGTCTGAAGACTATACACCTGCTATATCACACACTGATCGTATGTCTGAAGACTGTACACCTGCTATATCACACACTGATCATATGTCTGAAGACTGTACACCTGCTATATCACACACTGATCTTATGTCTGAAGACTGTACACCTGCTATATCACACACTGATCATATGTCTGAAGTGATCAGATAATATGGAAAAATCCCTCAGTGGGAACGTTGAAGAGAGAGCTGTGTTTCTTGAATTAGTCTCTTTAAGGGGGAAAAGCTGATGACCTCAGCTGTGACATTCTTACGTACCTAAAACGAGATGGACTAGACATAATGATGTTCAGAGCTCAAGATTACGATAATGCTGCCATAATGTTTGGAATCCATAGAGGTGTTCAGGCCATTCTGAAAAGAAATAATAAGAAAGTGATTTTTAATGAATGTGTGGGCCATTCGCTTAATTTGTGTTTGGAAACAAGCTTTTTCCCAAAATGCTTCATGTATTACATTTTTCAGTACTCTTGAGGGAATATGTCTTTGCTACACCCACTCATAATGGGATATTTTAATTGAACACACTGGAATTTTGGTGAAAAGACTGTCAACAACTCATTAGAGGGCTCCTCGTGCTGCTGTTAAAACAGTGAAAGGTAATTTTGATGAATGTGTTGCGGCCATTGAAGCTCTATGTCAGTGGTTCTGAACTTTCCTAGTGCCGCGACCCTTTAATACAGTTCCTCGTGTCGTGGCAACCCCCAGCCACACAATTATTTTCGTGGCTTCTTCATAGCTGTAATGATGTGTGTTTTCATATGGTCTTAGGCGACCCCTGGAAAAGGGTCGCACGACCCCTTTGGGGGTCGCGACCCACAGGTTGAGAACCGCTGCTCTATATGATCCTCTTGAAAAATTGGATACAAGATATACAGCACAAAGTCTTTTAATTGTCTGTGATTTCTGCTACCTTTACCTTTGGGCTGATCTACTTGAGAAAGTTAATCTTACACAGCAGTATCTGAAGACTAAAGGATTTACTCTTGACAAAGTGGTGACCAACCTATAGGCCTTAAGATTGTTTCTGCAAGAGAAGCACTGTCACTTGGTGGAACATGCTATTGGAAGGCCGTTTTAAAATCAGATCGATATTGAATTTCGGTAAAAAGAAGATTAATGTTTAGAAGAGAAGGACAGGCGAGCACGTGATTTTTACATATAATACACCAATAAAAAGAACAACTAAGTATACAGTATACTGCTAATTACTAAATACTCTGGTTAGTGTTAGAGGTGTTTGGGCTGACGTTTCTGTGGTCCCCAAATCACACACACAGCATTAGTCTTGTTTGTCCTCTCGTGTGGCCCCTGCGTTCTCGGGACGTAATGGGTCTAGACCAGTGGTTCTTAACCTGGGTTAGATCGAACCCCAGGGGTTCGGCGAGTCATTCTCAGGGGTTCGGCGGAGGTCCAAAAAACATTTTAAAAAAATGATATTTTATTTTTCCTATAAAGAAGGGTTCGATGAATGCGCATATGAAACTGGTGGGGTTCGGTACCTCCAAAAAGGTTAAGAACCACTGGTCTAGACTCTAACGGTTTGGCACCCACGGTCTGTGTTGCTGGTGGGAGACCAGAGTTAATTATGTGTGAACAAAATTCAGCACAAAATATAGCTAGCCAGTGCCAGGCTCTCTGCACAAATTACAGGTAAAAGAGAGCGGGTACTGTTGGGCCCTGCCTTCTGTTATAGTATGGGCTAGCGTCGGTACGCTCTTCCAGATGAGCGCATTGTGTCAGTTGGGTCATGGTAAAGGTTCAGTTCCATTGTTAGGGCCAGACCTAATTGTACAATCTTACGTGGGTTAGTAATGGAGAGAGTGTGAGCCAGCGGGTCACAAAAGGTGAGGACCAGCGAATCTCAACAGCCTAAATCACACGTTCATAAAATGTTATAATAAAATTTTATAATAGCCAGGCATTATTGTATCTTTGCTGGTGCTATTGTATTGAATAAATACATCTAATTTCTGTGGCACTGCAGCCCATGTATTGCTTTGGTCTGCCATTGAGCCTTTTTCCTCAGTGTACCCTCTTCACTCCTATTTCATTTGGAATGCTTTCTAACTCACACATTTTACGAAAGATATCTCAATGAACTTTAATTCCTTTTCTTAATAGTAGTATAGTAGTATCTTCAAAATGTTTATAAATATCATTGTTTAAAAATCTGTCCAAAAGTGTGTGTGGGGGGAGGGGGGTGTTTAGTTTTTTTGATTTGTTTTTTATTTTTTATTTTTGTCAGCCAAGTATCTTGTAAAACATTGAAAAATAAAATGGACTTAAACATTGTAAGATCAGAACCTGCTAATAGTATGTTAGTCTTTCTGCATACAGGTAAATTAGCTGATTGTTTACAAATCATAATGAGGTTACCTGTACCTAAGGGAAGTAAATAAACTGTACATTGCTGTAAATTTGTTTTGTTCTTTTTTTTTTTTTTTTTTAAAATTCAATTTTACGTAGGATTTTCTAAGCAAGACCAGAAAATGGAAAAAATAAGCATGCTTACACAAAATATATAAAAAAATATTACATTGCTGTAAATTTGTTTTGTTCTTTTTTTTTTTTTTTTTTTAAAATTCAATTTTACGTAGGAATTTTTAAGCAAGACCAGAAAATGGAATAAATAAGCATGCTTACACAAAATATATGAAAAAATATTTCAAAGGTAATTCAAATAAATATAAATTCTAAACTTTGGTTTTTAAACAAATAGAAGAGGCAATTTGTCTATATATCATCTGATATTGTTAAATATAGAAAATCCACATCTATATGATTTTTTAGGGTGGCCGAGTGGTCTAAACTGAGCAAATCTCAAGTTGGTGGTCTGGAGTTCAATTCCAGCTAGAGCAAAAACACCACCCCGGGTAGATGGGACTCGTTAACCTTGGACGGCAACTCATCTAAGAGAAGGAAACTCTGAAATCAAACCCGGAGATGGAGTCCCGAAAGGCGGATAAACATTGATACAATGAAACATTCCGACAACTCCTGCGACGTCACTGGTGCCAAGCTGTATCATCCAATGATGTTCCCTTGGGTTACCCAGCGGCGTGGAGAGAGGCGATTTGCTATTGGGAACCAGCTTTTAATCCTTAAAGTATAATAATCCCAGGCTATGTGGGATTTTGTCCTACGAGGCCCACTCCATCGTCACATTGTGACGGACGGATGCCAGCAAAATGTTTTTTTTTTTAAAGATCTGAGACCGCGGTACCATTAATCCCAATGCAGACATCTGAGTAGTCCCACCGTACAGACTGCTCTAGTGTTCTAGTGTTATTAAAGATAAAGTGTTTGATTGAAATAACTTTCAATCATACAAAAATAATGGGATTTTTTTATTTTTGGACAGCTCTGATCAAGATAGCCCATTGGTGAACATTCATACATTTAAAGAAAAGAAGTGGACAGTTCGATGTTTATTGGGCGATTCTTTAAAATTTATAGCAAAAATAATTCCTGAGATGTGCTTGATTAAATTTAAAAGCAGGCTATGCGTCTGTTTACAGAATTTTATGTCAAATATTTTTGTTTTAAAAAAATGTCTATATATATAAACTTTTAGAACTGGGGTAATAAATGTGTGTGGGGGATAATGTGGTAATAAATGTGTGTAGGGTAATAAATGCTTGTGTAGAGTAATGTCGGTGTATGATAATGTGGTAATAAATGTGTGTGTAAGGTAATGGGGTAATAAATGTGTGTAGGGTAATGTATAAAATGAGTGTAGAGTAATAAATTTGTGCATGGTAATTTGGCAATTGTCAAGGTCATGGAATCAGAGGTATTGTGTGCATCAAGATTTGTGAAATTTACTGAAATTGGGTTAAGTGAAAGAATGTGACCTCTTGTCATATCAAGTAGGGGTGCATGGAGTTTGAGGTCAAGAGGGAGAGAACAATTTAGGGGAGTGAGACAGTATTTTGGTTACGCAGACAGGATGACAAACTATTATTTAATTTTTTAGGGAAACTGAGACAGGATGACAAACTATTATTTAATTTTTTAGGGAAACTGAGACAGGATGACAAACTATTATTTAATTTTTTTAGGGAAACCGAGACAGGATGACAAACTATTATTTAATTTTTTAGGGAAACTGAGACAGGATGACAAACTATTATTTAATTTTTTAGGGAAACTGAGACAAGATGGCAAACTATTATTTAATTTTTTAGGGAAACTGAGACAGGATGACAAACTATTATTTAATTTTTGGGGGAAACTGAGACAGGATGACAAACTATTATTTAATTTTTTAGGGAAACTGAGACAGGATGACAAACTATTATTTAATTTTTTAGGGAAACTGAGACAGGATGACAAACTATTATTTAATTTTTTAGGGAAACTGAGACAGGATGACAAACTATTTGCCAAACAAATAGACCCGGGTAATAATTTTTCTGCTGGATGTGATTAGGTAGCAATTTTTTGTGTGTACCTAGTGGATTTTAGTACAGTGAAATAAATCGCATAGTGTACAATGGATGATTCTGTGTCAGCGTCTTATACTCAGAATTAATATGAAGATGGTAAAAATGTTATTTTTTTTAAAAATAGCTTGAAAATTAAGGTGCATCTTATAGTCCGTAAAATATGGTACTTCAAGTATGTTAAGAAACAAAACAATATGGTAATTAAGTGTAAGGTGAGAAATGCTTGAACAACTCATCATAATAATTGACACTATTAACAATAAGAACTGTACTTATGACAACTTAAACAATTACAACATTAACTCATTTATTGTGTTTATTTCTCCAATACCAATAAGGGTTACATGCAATCAATGGTAACTCACCAATAACGGTAGAAAATCAGGTTTAATACAAATTGCATTTAAGATCATTAGACTCTGCGCATACAAAACACAAGGTTATATTTGAATATATAATATTCTTTGAACACAAAATTTGTTCACATCGAAGCAATGCCTGGCAAATCATTTGGTAACTAAAAACTAATCATCAGCAGAAATGAATGGTCACCAGAGACACTGATTTGTAGAGTTGTATTTAGATTGATCTCTGGTATGGATCAAATCTTATATTATAACTTGACCAATAAACAGAAATTAAAATTGTGATGGCCTTATTTATTACTAGACAAAGAATTTAAGTTTGGAAATTGTAAAAAAAAGGAGAGAAAAAAACTATTGTTGCTAATAGTGTTCCTTTTGTTCTTCTGCATGACACCAAATAGCATAGTGTCTAAGCAAAACAAACACTGCTACACAGTTGACAAATTTAAATTTTAGAATTGATTATAAAAAATGTACCTATTTAATAGAAGAGATTATAAAAGTATGCCACAAATATCACCCAAAAACAAAACTCACTCTAATTCCTATACTTAATTTTCAAGAAAGGATTCCTATCCAAGATTTTACATAGGATTGAATAGAGAATTAAAAAAGCCATTAATAAATTCAATTAAGTAAAGAATGTGCCCTCTAGTTGGTCGCTTGGTTGACCAATCAGAAATATTAAATTTACTGTAAAAACATTGAGAAATATTGCATATGACTTTAACAATAAATTTTAATGACAAGTTAATAAAAATCACAGCTTTCCATTGTTTTTTTTCCATATTTCAAAAATGGAGGATAATCACCATAAAAAAAAACAAGAGCAAGGTTTGGAAGCACAACCCGGATTGTTTTTTTTTCCCCGGATTAGGGCTCAGCTTTTTCAGAGTTATATTTCATCAAAGTTTTAGGACAAAAAATTCAATTATATTTATATCATCTTTTTACATTTAATATTTTTTTAAACTTAAAAATTAAAATATTTGAATGCAAATTTCCTAATTTTTGTGAAACATGTAAAAGAACTTTTGGGAAACTAAGACAGGATTACAAACTATTTGCCAGCTTTTAAAAATAATTAAAAACTTAGTTGTTTGAAAGAAAATATTAATGTCCAAATCACTTCAAAAATTGAGTGCTCCTAAACCTTGCAAAAAAAAAAAAAAAAATATCGGCACCAGCATCTTTGTCCATATTGAAGTAAAAAATTATTTTTGTTTGCTCTTTGATCAAAATGTTAAGTAGTAAAGAGAGAACATCTTTTAACTTGTATTTTTTTTATAAACTTTCTTTCAACTCCTCCCTTAAAATTAAAGTTTCATTTTATTTAATTAGGATTATATACAATAAACATTTTTTGGAATTTAACATCAATATTAGATATCACCATGACTATTTCTTGTCATATTTGTAAAATCCTTCTCCACTCTTCATGCCTAATTTGTTTTCTTTCACCAATTTATTTAGCATCTGGGATGGTTGGAATAAAGGGTTGTCAGGCTCCTTTTTGCTCCAGCCTGTGGAGGTAAAAATACAAGATCCAATTGAAGCTTAAAAACACCATAGGGCTACTGTAGAAACTTTGACTATGCACACAAAAACCACACAAAATGATGGATTATTCAACATGGAAAGTGAATTTTTATTTTAACTGATGACGGATTTTACATCTTTTTTTTCTTTGGTTATTAATAGCTTAAAAAAAACAATGTTAGCTCCTGAGAAAAAGGGGGCTAACACCAGAATTTTTATCAACCCATGATCAACATTAGTTGTGACATGAAATCAAAAGAAGTGTTTATCTCAAGAACAACCATAGTTTAGTTCCAACACTATGATCCTAGACATTGGACATGTCTGTTTCATTTTTTAGACATATCAATATTTGCTAAGTGCTGTTCTCTGATGTGACTCAAAAATACTGTGTTGATGATGCTCTATTCCTTTGTGGGAGAACAATAGGAATTGAATGGACCATTCACATTTTTAAGTTTTATTTTTTATATAAAAAAATTAATTAATTTAAAATAGAGTAATAAAAAATGCTTAATTGTTGTATATTTTATAATAAATAAGGTAGATTTTTTATTTTGTCTTTTATGCACAAAAGGAGATTATAAATCCACCACCCATTTTACCACTAGCACATCAGAAAGCATTATGCTACAAAAGAACTTTACAATTTGCAATGCGTTCCCCAGAAATTATTAAGAGTATTTATTAAAAAATTAAAAATCATTAGAGAAACTATACCATCAATTATGAATTTAGTTGTATCAAGCCCCACATAATCAAGAAGTTCAAATGGTCCCATTGGATAACCAGCTCCAAGTTTCATTGCTGTATCTACATCTCGAGGTGATGCATCTCCTGAAAGGAAGTTATGGAGAAAAAAACTCAACCTAGAAAATGCAGATCAATGTAAAAGTAAGGGTTTGACTCTAAACTTGTGCCAAATGATTATTCCGGAACACACTACCACCACAGTGAATTCAGTTTATGTTTGAAACTGGGGGCCATAATGCCCCCCCCCCAACCCCCCCCCCCCAAGCGCTTGAATAATTCCTCCCCCCCCCTCCCTCCCTTACAAACTCTCTCCCAACACCAGCCATTTTATCGCAACCCTCTCCCCACACACTGCCTCCCCCAATCAAATAGTCTAATAGAAATACTGAATTCAGATATACTCCAAAATGCATCTCTTGATTTTACCAATTTTACTAAATAATACCAAGAACATTTTATAAGCTCAAAAAAGACCCAAGGATCAGATAAGACAATCTTTTAAGTGCCCCCAATTTTCATATTTAACTCTATTATTACAAATTATTTATTGTCAAAAACATGAATTTGAATCACCCATATTATCAATGTTAATAGCAATATGAAAAGTTTTGAAAGGAGAGACAGAAATGTACAATTGTTAGTAATGCTCATGATTTCAAAACTCAGTCCTGAACAAATCCTACAACTCATATTTAAACATAAGATATAAAGGCGGAATGTAAATCTCTAACATATTCACCTCTCTCAACAAGTCTAATGGCCTCAGCCATATAAGGAACAAGGAGTCGATTCACAATGAAACCTGGTGTGTCCTGTACAGAGAAAGCATTATTTCTATAAGGATTATAACAAAATAAACCAATATTTTTAGGCAGGATATTCTGAGGGTGGAAAATAATATTACTAAGAGGTTGTATTTAGGAATACATATTCATTAAGATTGTATTAAAAAATCTTTTTAAAGGTAACATCTCCTAAAGGGAGCACTTTGTATACCTTGCATTGAACTGTTGTCTTTCCAAGGGCTTTACCAAATGCTTCCAGAGATTTGTAAGTAGCATCTGTTGTCTCAGGAATTCTGATCACCTGAAAGTACATAACTGAATTGTTTAAATAACTCAGAAGTAACGTGGATGACTAAACGTAAACTGACATAAACACTCAAAGGTGCACCATTTTGACTTCTTGGACCCTAACATGAATCATCCCCCATCCTTTCACCAGTGACTATTTTTTTTTTTAAATCGCAAGAAATATCATAACTTTGTTGCAAGTGGTAATATAGAAAATTTCAAAATAACATTTCTAACTTTACCTCTAACAACTTCATGAGGGGAACAGGGTTAAAGAAATGGAGACCTCCAAATCTGTCTTTCCTTTGGGTCGCTGTGGCAATTTCTTTAATTGGGATGGAAGAGGTATTGCTTGCAAACAATGTTTTTCTGAGGATAAATTAAAAGAATGTAGATAAAATATTTCAATATAAATTTAAAAACTAAGAAGCCATTTAGTGAGGGGATTTTCCTGAATTAAAAAAACATTGATGAGCATTCATCCTAGTCACCAGAAACAAACTTGAAATACACAGGCAGTGAGTAACTTTACATAAATTTAACCTTCAAGTCTTTAAGTAATGTAACAATTTTCAGTGAAGAAAAAGAAAAATAGTTTTTTTTTATGCAGTCTTATGGCCCCGCTCCTCCTCTTTTGCCAACTATCGTATATTTGAATTTATTTAAAATGTTTCAATGTTTAATTTATTTTTACCCGCGCAACTTGGCATGGGGAAGATTAAACAATGAATACATTTAAATCTAAATGTCACCTTAAAAAAAAGTATTTAGGTTCCCTTCAGACACTAATACAACTGGATAGAAGCATCTACTCACTCTGGAGCAGCCTTGTCTAAGGCTGAGAACAACTCTTTTTTGACATCCAAGTTCTCCACTATAGCCTCAATCACCAGATCAGAAGATTTCACTGCTGCCAGAGCATCAGTAGATAAGCTCAGGTTTTCTAAGACATCAGTTAAATACTTTTGCTGAGCCTTGTGTGATAATCAATAGAAATAAAAGTATCAACAGAAGGTTCTCATTTATCCCCCTTTGGCATTAGACAAATACTAGGCAGTCATCACCCTGTAGTAACCACTTTTCTTTTTAAAAGTTTTTAAATACTGTGTACCCCTTAATCATAAGAAATGACTTGCACTGCCCCCCCCCCCCCTCACATTTTTTTTTTACAAAACAACTGAAAACATCATTTAAATGCAACGTGAAATGCAGTCATCACCCTTTAGTAACCACTTTTTTTTTTAAAAGTTTTTAAATACTGTGTACCCCCTAATCATAAGAAATGACTTGCACTGCCCCCCCCCCCCTCACATTTTTTTTTTACAAAACAACTGAAAACATCATTTAAATGCAACGTGAAACAATTACAAATAATTTGAATGCAAGGTTCATTATAAAACATTTACATTCAAACTTTACATTTAAAAGGGATCATTAAAAAATTACGGAAATGATTGTACTAGAATTTATGGTATAACAATAACATTTGCCAACCAGCAAAGAGCTCTATGAGAACTTGCATGTCATTGCTCACACAAGACTAAAGATTTTTACACACAGAATATATTTAGCACACAGCCTCAGAAAAATTGAGTTACATTAAGTTTTAAACTCTTTTATCTCTTTGTTTAAGCAAAGTTAAGTTTCTTGGAAATGAGAGCCAAATCATAGGAGCCAAAATGATCAATAAATTGATCGTGGGCCCTTAAGATATAGAAGAAGAAATCAAATTAAATGTATATTAACTTTTTCAACTAAGCAAACTGTAATCTTAAAAAAAAAAAAAAACTGATAATTTTTTTAAATTAAGGGAATGCCTTAGCTCTTCAGACTCCAAGAATGGGAAAATATTTTTTAACAGATCATAATAAATTACAGATCTCTGAAAAGGGTTGCAATGATAAGAAAATGGGCTAAATATACGGGTCTTATTATTACCTGAATATACTGGCCTTATTATTATCTGAATATAGTGGTCTTAATATACCTGCATTTTTAATAACTGAATATACTGGTCTAATTACATCAGAATTTGGTATTTCATTCTTATCTTTAATAATAAAACAAATTATAAGAAGGAGAATTTGAAGGGAAAAACATTGTCTTTGTAAACATATTTTGGGTAGAACTTATGTGACATATCATGCTAGAGCAGTGGTTTCCAACAATAATAAATCAAGGTTAGGAGATTAGAAATAATTAGAACATAATTATGTCACATCTAGCTGCTGAAATCTAACCCACCTTGGGAAAATTAGAGAAGTTTAACTGGCACCATTGAATAAACACTTTAAAAATCCTTTAATTACATACAACTTTTAATTAAAATATCCAGATTTACTTTTAAAACCTGAGTAGTATCTACTGACTTAGCTGAATAATGTCAAAAAACAGATGGTTGAATTAAAATTAATTATAGATTTATATGTGTGACCTTCCCTACCTTAGTGTCATCAGGAAACTTTTTCTTGACAATTCTCTCAAGACTCTTCTTAATGGAACTTTCAGCTTTGTTAATAATGTCTTGAGTTTTATCCACAACAATGACTTTGTGTCCACTAGCAGCAGCAACCTATAAATAGCATTTACTGTAAGTTAACAACAGTTTCAGATAACATAAATAGCCTAAAAGGGATTATGAAACATGAATGTATGGTGACCACTGCTTCAAATTTGAAACAAAAAGTGCACAAATGTCCAATTTAATATTATCAGTAATTTTAAGCTAACCTATAAAAGTTTGTAGAAAAAACATGTGCACACAATCCACGCTATGAATAAATCTTGTGAATCCTTTTATTGATTTATGTAATCCTGATTCTTCTCACTCCTTTTATCCAGAATTTTATAAAAATCAACTAGTTTATATTCAGCCCTCGGAATGTTTGAAATCCCAAGGGTATTAGTACTACTTTGCTTCATTTCCAGCATACCGGTAGGGGAAGATAATTTTTCTTAAAAGGTATGTAAGATGAAACAATGTCCGATATTATAACCAAGAGTATTCAGTCAATTATAATCAATATTTTGAACTGGTAGGCCTACATCTATGAATTAGTACAAATACGTTCACTTGGTTAAAACAGAAGACTGACTAAACTGGTATGGAAAATACTGTCCAAGACCTTTGATTTTCCGAAAAGTGCAAGTCCAGCTTTTTTCTTCTATACAGTGAAGGTTTATAAAAAATGTAATAAATAACCACATTTATTCTCAGTTAAAACTTGCTACCTATATGCAGGCATCTAAGTATACACACACAAAAATCACTGTACACATAGTTATAAGAAATACTTAATATTGATGTATAAGTGTGTTGTAGCCATGAGCCCTTGAATCATCTTCAGGAAGTTTGAGACCCTTCATTAGTGGCGTCACTATGGGAGTGGGGACCAAGTCTGTCAAGCGGCGAGCGCCATATGTGATGGTTGAACTCACACAAAAGGGTTTAATTTTTTTCAGAGTCAACTATTAGATCAATCAATAAAGAGCCACAAGTATAGACTGGCTGTAGGACTTCTGTAGGCCTATTGTTTAAAGGCTGGCAGTTACGGTGAGGGACTGTCTGCAGGACTATTGTTTCAAGCTGGCATATTTTATGTGGAGTCAACAATGGTCTTCCCACTGCACTTTGATAGCAAATTAAATTGCAAAAAAAAAATATTGCAATATTCATTCACAATATCAGCAGCATAATGCTCCTAAAAGCATGATGGCCCCCTAGAGGTGTGATATTCCCTAGAGGTGTGAGGCTCTCTAGAGGTATGAAGCAATCGGCAAGTGTCCAGTGTGTCGATGCCTTAAGACAGCACTGGACTGGAGTCTATCCTCCAACTGACCATTTTCTATGATGAGTTATCTGAAAGTGAACTTTCATTAGAAATACCAAGGCTGGTGAGGCACCTGAAAGCATCAGCAGATCGTGATATCAAAGAAGACAAAGATTGGTCAATGTTTAAACTTTTTAAATTCTTAGCCGAATTAGCCATCCTTGAAGCTCTGCCAATCATCTCATTAAACCTGCAATTATTTCTCATGACATGATTGTTTGTGACTTCATGTGTGGTTTCAAGCTTATAAATTTGTAAAGAACTGTTGGCAATCTACCATGGTAGTGGTTGTCTCAAATTTTATGTTTTCTTTATATATCCTTTGTTTCTTTAGGAATTAGTTTAGAGACAATACTATGATCTGGTTTAGAATTGTTGGTGTAGGTTCCAGTGGGGGGTCCAAAGGGGGTGACAAAACAATATGAGTCACCAGTTCTTGAGACGCCTCTGCCTTAGATCTAGTTGTAGACTTGAGCCACAGATGATATTGAATATTTGGTTTTATAAAAAAATATAAACAAATAATTTTTCAGTAATGTTCTCCACAAAAACCTTACACAGCAACTGCTTTCAAATAATTTATAAATTATCTTGTCATTGAATAAATACCAAATAGTATCCTCATAAGGATACCTACATTATTAATATTACTTTAAGAGAGAGATCCTCACATTGCATAACATTACAACCTGGAATAATTAATTGTCAATGGGCATTACTGATTAGTTCCTCTTTCGGAAACCATTTATCCAACTCCACAGAAGTGGAAAAGGTAAAAGTTCCAATTTTCCACCCCATATATAGATGATGATATACTATTACTAATACTAACACTATTTTGTTTTTTAAATAAACCAATACTTTTTCAAACATTTCCCAACCAAAAACAAAAAATCATGACAATCCCAATGCAACAGTTTTGTTGAATAATAAAAGTAAATAGTAATACATGTAGTAAAAAATTATTGAGATAAGACACTTGAAAAAAAATAGCGTTCACCCCCTCCAAATAAATGTCAATTTCTTTAAAAACAATTATGATGCGCATGACAGTTTAACAAAGTCCCTGTAAATCAGTGTTCCCACAGTGGGGTGTAGATTAAACAGGGAAGCCATTTGAAAATTGTGGGGTGACATTTATTCTCTGAGAAAGGAAATGTATATTTAAGTTTTAAAAGGGTGCTGAAGTGCAGCATGGGGAAAACAGGTTGGGAAACACTGTTGTAAAAAAAAAATTTTAATTAAGTTGAGGGTTTTCTCCGCCTGGAGCTCTTTGGTTCAGCCGAACTTATGTCACAAATTACCTAACCGGCACAGAAACATATGTAGAGTGAACTAAAGTTTCAATAACAATTGGATAAATACATTACTCTTGCTATATTTAGCAAGTTATTTTTTTTAAATAGCAGAACAAGGCTTGAACAGAAAAGAAAGGACAATAAAAGAACAAAGTTTCGGCTAAGAGCTATCCTCAACTGAAACGTTCTTCTTTTATTGTCCTGTCTTTCTATTTAAGCTTCCACATACCTTGTTTTACCATTTCATTCACACAGCTTGAACACAGACCTTCAATAATTATTTGTTTTTAAAACATAAAGCAACAGTACAACAAGAATAACAAAACATTGTGGTGATATTTTTATAGATTTTTAAAATAAATAGAAATGAAATTCACTGATTTTTAGTCTATGGAAGGCCCCTGCCTAAGGGTTATGCACATGCCTATAGCAATACTTGGGCCATCCGAAGCTTAAATTTAGGGGCCATCGATAAATGATGTCACGCAAATTTTGAAGGTTTTTGACCCCCCTCAAATATAACGACGCAAATCTCTGCACACCCCCCCTTATAAAAAGTCCCTGTGTCCACAACTGTCCTTTACAAACCCTTAAGAAATTCACCTCCCGTGGATATCAAATTACTGCACCTGTGTCATAGACATTTCACTAGAGCAGTGGTTCTTAACCAGGGGTAAAAGTACCTCCCCAGTAGAGGCATAGCGAAAGGGGGGTGGGGGGGTGGCAGATGTCCCCGGGCATCAGCTAGTTAGGGGCGCCAAAATGTGCTTTGATATTATTTTATTGATGAAAATAATGGGTTTGAGAGTTGAAAAAAGAAAAGGGAGCGTTTTTTAATGAATATTGTCCCAGGGCGCCAATCTTGTCCTCGGGTGCCAAACACTCTCGCTACGCCTCTGCTCCCGAGTCCTGAGGTGTGGAAGACCAGAAAATTGTATTTAGTGGCTTAGCTAGGGGAGTGTGGACTGCACCAGGTGACACCATCTCAAGGGGTGACACAAAATTGAAAAATTGAATATTTACAAAGCAAACATTACTCTGTCTAACTGAATTTCTTAAAAAGATAACAGATGACACGAAATTTTCCAATTGTAATGCGTCAATAATTTGGTTTGCTTAAAATAAGGTCAGAAACACACTTTTTTTACCATGGTTCAATGCCAAATAAAGTGTTTGGTAACTTTTGTATGGGTTCGGGAACTTTTGTATGTGACAGGAAGCTATATTTATCTAAATGTTTTTCTATTAAATTTTGTTGGCGCATGGGTTGTATTGGTAATTTTTCCCCTTGTATATAAAAAGTTAATCAAAGAAATAAAACTACGATAACAAAAATATTTTTATTACAATATAATTTTTATGGTAGGGGGGGGGGGGGCGGTGTTGGTTGTTTAAAAAGGAGTGGACTTGCAGCGCTGCAAAAAAGGTTAAGAATCCCTGTTCTAGAGCATTTACTAAGATCACCCCACCTCCCACCCGTCAACCATTTTTTTTGTTCCATCCCACTTCACATGGAAGTCCTAATTCTATGACTCCCGTGTCCACATTAAGCCATAAATTCTCACGACTTTCATTGTAACTACATCTCGATTCTCCTCCTCCTTGGTATCCTGTAACTTGATCAGAGGCCATTTCTCAAACCTCACATACCTGGACTGATTATCTCTGTGACAGTAGTTTAAAAATAAAATAATTGTATAAAAGAATGTTAAAAATGTCTGTAATTTAGGATTATTAAGAGCAAAGACTTTACTACAATATTCCGCTTTTCATGTGGCATCACATTGCTTGAGGCCCCCCTTTCCCTGGTCACACATTGTCACAAAAATCTGACAACCTCCCCAGACGCATGACATTTATGGATGTCCCCTTATAACAATTTTCACTTAGCTCTGATAAACTTTAACTTAATAAAGTTAAAAATAAAAATTAAAAGTTAATTTGAATACAAGCAACAAATGCTTTTAATTTTATATTAAGTCTAAGTCTAAGTTAAAGTAATTAACTACTAAGTTTATGTTTGAAAATTTAGTCTTGGACATTTTAGTTTTTAGTGGACTCTTAAACTTAAACTTAAATTACAACTGATTAAGTTGATTAAGACTAAAACTTAAACCAAGTTTAAGCTTCAAAAGTAGGCTTTCATGAATCATTGTAAAAATTTATTCTTTAGATGACATAATCATACTTCATCATTATACTGCAACTGGCAACTGTAACAGACAGTTGGTGACTGTGTGGTATTATACTTACTGTATTTTCTTTTAATGATTTAATGATTAAGATGATATGAAAAATGTTCGGATCCAAAGGTTATATGTATATTGATTATTGCAGTACTGGTCGAGGTCAAAGTCCGATGAGAGTGATTTTTAAGTATCGCTTCAGAAGTTCTTGTTTGGTCAGGTCTCAGGTACTATACAAATCTTGTTTTGTAGAAAGTAACAACAAACAAAAACATACTTGTGCAATGCCAGAGCCCATCAATCCACTGCCAATGACTGTTACTGTTTTAATTGAATTGAAATGTGCTGCAGACGTCGACAAAGCACGAACGATTAACTTGGAGGTAAAGGCCATTTTGCTCAATGTGGCAGTTCGAATAGTACAGCTGAAAAGATCAAATAGTCCTTAGTTCTGAAAGAGATACGGACTGCAGTATATATAGTATAGATAAGTGCTGCCACTCAGATTTTTAAAATTTCACAGGTTTGGTCAGCGGATTCCCCCAGATTTCCCCAGATTGTAAAAATATAAAACAAGATTTAGTTCTACATACTACTTGGAAAAAAGGGGGGTGGGGCGGCACAATGAGCGCAACCTTCGACCTACCTACCAGCGTAGACAAAATCTTTGATTTATAAATACTGTTTATTTTTTTTATTTATTTTTTTTAAAGAAATGGCAGTTTAGGCTAAAGTCTAGGGCTCACACCTTACTTTGGAATATTCAGCCTATTCGTGTAATGTAACCTCTATTAACCAGAGGCACCAATAAGTGGGCCTTGCAACCAGGGTTTCTTTCCGACATTTCCCTCCGGAGAAGGGGAGTATTTTAGATTTACGGGAAGAGGGCACTGCCAATGGCCAGTGGCGTATCTAGGGGGAGACAGAGGGAACAAATGTCTCCGGGCGCCAGACTAGCGGGGACACCAAACTGGGTTATGATAGTATTTAGTTGGTGAAGATATTGGTTTCAGAAATGAAGCCGGTTTGGGAGGGGGGGGGGGGTAAATTAATATTTTCCCTGGCGTCAAAAACTCTTGATACGCCTCTGCCAGTGGCGTAGAAATGGGTGCGAATGGGGTTGTCCAGCCAGGTGTCTTTTTTTTTATCTATATGGAGGAGTGTGATTCTTGGACAACTCCAGAGTTTTTATCGTGAAAGAGAGGGCGACAAAAATCTTGACCTGCCGATGGTGCCACTAATACTAGCTACCAACATAGGTAAACTTCTCACCTTTGCTAAGCACCCGTTCGGCGCCCCCTTCCCTGTATGGCTCCGCTCTTTTTCCGATTACGACGTAGGCTATGGAGCACGTGTTATGATACTACACATGTAGCTAACTATATGCATTTTAACATGCACATTATTTTAGACTATTTAACTTGCGATTTTGCGTCCTGGAAAGCTCCTTGTTCCCAATATTCTTTCTGCTGAAATAATTGTAAGAAGGACAAGGAAATACGGTATTAATAAATTGATTTTTACGCCCTTTCGGTTGGTCCCAACCCCAGTGTTAGTATCCAAATTAAGAATGCAACTTTTATTGTATGAAAAGTTAGAATACCGCTTGTCGACCCTGGACCGAGGTTCAACTTCACTATAACAAACTAAGGGAATTTAAATATTTACTGGGCGCCACAGGCGCCCCTATGGACACGACGCCCTATGTGAGGGCACAGGTCGCATACCCAAAAAGGCCGGCGTTGTAGCTACGCCACTAGCCAGTGAATCAATCGGCACCAAAATAGGCGTTGATATTTATCGGGAATTAGGGCAAATTCGATGGCTCGTGGGCGGAAGAGAGGTTGGCTATACTGTCATTTTTATCGGGAAATGGGCAGAAATTAAGGGCGCGATTACTCTTGACCGAAAAGGAGGATCATGACTGGGAATCACTTCCCCAGAAAATGTTTTATTATTTCTAAACAAAGGGGTTATTTTGGAGTATACCTAAATTAATTGTTTCTAATACTATTTCATGGATTTTTTCAAGCGTCCGGGGGATGCATGATTGCGCACAGTGCTGAATTCACCCCGGTTGTCGCGCGCGCCATGGTAATCATTTGGCACAAGCCTAGTTTCAACCCGTACTGTAATTTAATTTCCGTGAGTGAACGGGGAAGCAGAAATTAAGGATGCTGAAAAATCTCAAGCAAAAGTGGGGACAAGAGTCCGAATAGAATTTTTTTTTTTTAATTCACAATCCTGGATGTATTTCGGTGCACAGTTGAAGTTTGTGTTTCTTTCAGACAGTTTGGAAGGGGTCAATTCGAAGGTCTGATGGGAGCGCCAGAATTAGTCATAATAAAGATCAGGTACATCTCTAGCTCCGCCACAGTCCAACATGAACTAAATTCATTCCAGTTGATGCCCTTGATGTTATAATTTCGTCCTAGATTATTATCTTTATAGTCCCTAGAACATTTTTGATAAACTTAAAATGCAAGAATGGATTTTAGCACATACATATATTTTGTTTTGCATCAATCTACACTTAATCGGAGAGATGCTAGTTTAAAGTTTAGGATTCACTTACCCCAGTGCCATCGCGTGGGCCCTGCAACCATTGCGGCTTTAGGGGTGCTTCTGATATTTTAGGGGCCTAAAGTTGTGCTGTGAACACATTTTTTTAAATTTTCAAATTTGAATGTAAGTTGGTGGAAGGACAAACCCCGGAAAGTGGCAGGGGGTCTCAGAAAGTCAAGCGACGGCTCTGCTTGACCTAGTTATGCAATAAACATATTTTTGTTAAGATTACTAAATAAAATTGTGGTTTTATCTTTTATTGAAACTGTTTTTGAGGTAAACTACATCGCAACTGTTTAAAAAAAAAGAAAAAAACTTTTGAAAAAGATTTCCAGCACAAAAAAGCACCCATAACATTATTTTAAATGTTGAACGTAATGAAAAAATATTTATAAAAAAATTATTTTCCAAATATTTCCAAGACTTACATGAGTCAAAAAGACACACAATTTTTTTTTTTTTTTAGAAAGGCCTGTAGGCAGTGATGTAGCTTGGGTCGGTGTCAGCCGGTGCGGTAAACTCATGGTGTCACCGCCCCCCCCCCCCCCCCCCCGCCTTCCAAAATCGATTTGTTTATGTTAAAATAAGTCAACAGTATACCAATGACAAGAACACAAAACAAATAAAAAATTATTTTTCAAATATTTCCAAGACTTACATGAGTAAAAAAGAAACACAATTTTTTTTTTTTTTAGAAAGGCCTGTAGGCAGTGATGTAGCTTGGGTCGGTGTCAGCCGGTGCGGTAAACTCATGGTGTCACCGCCCCCCCCCCTCCTCACCCGACTTCCAAAATGGATTTGTTATTGTTAAAATAAGTCAACAGTATACCAATGACAAGAACACAAAACAAATAAATGAAAGGTCAGGAGGTAAATGTATTTTAGAACTATATTTAAAAGTTATTGGAGCCAGAATGATCAATGCATTGATTTTGGGCCCTCAAAATATAGAAAGTTACGTTATATTTGTTTTTACATTAAATTTACTTTATTAAAAATTTTCCTTTCTTGGTCTTCAAAGTTGCAAATTTTTCAATCACATGATCAAATTCAATATCCTTCACCGTATCACTTTCAACTGATATAATATAGAGCCAGATGAGATGCCTTGGTTATCCCATTGTGGATCGTAAATAGGTCTTGACAAGCCTTAGTTTTGTAAAGCTCCGCTCATATGAAGCCACAGACACACAGATCATAAGACGATTCAAGGCTCAACAAGAGTATTGGAAGAGATTCTAGGAAGTCCCATTCAGCTTTGAATTTCAAAACATCAAATACTAACCAGTACTTGAATTTGTGAAATTCAATATCAGCTGCCTTTAGTGTCTTTTAAGCAATAACTCTTCTCCACTTGCTGATAGTAGACTCTTGATCTGCTGCTTGATCACTGCTGATTTTATCTAGAGTTCAGAATGAAAGTTAGTAATGCACACCCACATCTCCCTTCTCTTTTCTTCTAGCAGAGAGAGTCCATCATCTGATAATTGTTCTGCTTTCACTCTCTTCTTAAACATTTGTGTTCTCTCTACCGAAATTCCATGTGGGTCTGATTTTAAAAGCACATTTTCAATAGCATTTTCCACGAAGTGAAAGCGCTTCTCGTGCAGAAACAATCTTAAGACCTTTAGGTTGGCCACCACTAATTCAAGAGTAAAACCTTTAGTCTGCAGATACTTATGTTTAAGATTAAGTTCCTCAAGTAGATCAGCCCAAAAGTAAAGGTACCCGGTAGCAGATAAACATGAAATCACAGCAGCATGTAAAAGACCTTGTGCTATAATAACAATCGTGCTCTAATGTTAAGAGGTGGTGCTAGTGGCGAATCGGCTAAAATATTTTTGACCATATCTGGGTTTCAATAGATTTGGTTTCAAAAACATTTTAAAAAATTATTAAAATTTTTAAGAACACTTCTTAGAAGTACAAAGAACACTTTGTAAAATATTATTTTGTTGACCCTAAAAATAGGTAAAAATTCATTTTTTAATGTTTTTCATTTTTACCGATTCGATTCATTTACTTAGAATCGTCTGACCGTATTGTATTTGGTTTCAGTGGAAAGCTTTATTTCTCAGAATTTAGATAAATATTGCTTCCTGTCATTTACGAAAGTTACCGAACACTTCAATCAGCGTTGAATAATGGTCAAAAAGGTGTTTCTGGCGCATTATTGGGATTAGTTACACGTGCTCTGTAAATTTGTACTTTTTCAATTTGGTGTCTCCCCCTGGGATGGTGTCACCCATTGTGGTGCGCGCCCCCTAGCCACATCACTGGTTGACCCAATAATTGGATAAAAAGTAAAAGTCATTTTTAAACGGTGTTTTTCTTACCTAATTATAGGGTCACCTTACTTATGACGCATCAACATATAACTTTTAAACAAGCACGCATTGGGGATTGGTTAAATGTATGGAAAATGTATTTGTGATTGGTAATCTTTTTGTGAAAATCGGTTGTACCGAGCAGTGTGTGCTCTGTAAATATATAATTTTTCAGTTGGGTGTCACCCCTTGAGATGGTGACACCCGGTGTGGTCCGCACCCACATAGCTACGCCACTGGCATGTACGTTTTGAGGATTTTCAAAACTGTTTATTTTTATAAATCGTGTAAGTAATGCATAATTAAGACATGAGTTGTTTACAAAAAAACATCTTATATTGATTAATGTGTGAATTTATCCGTGGAAAATCTTACAAAACTAAAGTATACATTTCCCAATATTCAGTTGATTAAAATGTTTATTTTGAATTTCAAACAACTCTAACTTTCTTCAGTTGAATTTTAAATTGCCTCTTTGATACACTTTAATGGTTACCGGAAATTTGATCGAAAGAAATTTCGTCGACGGCAAATTGATCGACGGAAATTTATCGAACGGAAATTTAGTTGAATCATTTTTTCAGTTCACACGTTAAAATTTTCGTCAAAAT